AATAATATTTTTACGATATTTTTCTGATCTAATTAAATCTTTGTTCAGGCTTTAAAATAAAATGTGCAAACGATTAGTCTTTGAAACTCTATGAATAAACGTAAACCTGCGCGGATATTTCGACACTGATAGACTGTTGTCATTTTCCTCTCTCGTCTCGACTCCGCCCATTAGTGTTTATTTTCAGCTTTGGGCCACATTAGCCAATAGTAGAACAGCACCTTTTGTGGGGCGGAGCTAAATATAGTACAGCCTCATCTGGTTGGGTAAAAAATGTAATAGACAATCTATTCATTTAACACATAAATAATTGGTATAGAATAAATTACATTTACCAATCGAATATGGCATATTTTGTGATCATTTGTCAATATAGCACACAGCTCTAATAGCAAATAAAACCATACTATCGTAGCAGCAGTAATACTAATATCCACTTCTGATGCATTGATGAAAGTTACCATAAAGCGCCACCACTAGTTTTGAATCGAAACAATCAAAGATTTTCCAGGAGTGCAGTGAAGTTCAGCATTAAAGAATCGATTAACGTCAGCATTAAATCATGGATAGCACCAGGGAGATCAGAGACGTAACTATGCGCTGTACATTCATCATACGCGATGATCGGACGCAGTCGGCACAGTGAGGCGTTTCTTCCTTCAGCACACTCTCCTGGACTCAAATCATATCATGTACAGAAAATAATATATATATATTTATATATAGTTATATATATTCTATATACTGCTATATGTGAAACACTTGTATATAAAACAAGTTACTAAACGAGTTTAGTAACACAGTCATGTAGAAAAATATGACATCTTGACAATTTCAAACGACTACGGTAGATATACTGCAGCTACAACTGTCATTAATGCTAAAACAATCAGAATAAGAAGAAGAATAAGAAGAAGAATCTAAAAATAAAGGAAAATAAGAAGAAAAGGAACCAAATCTATGAAAGCAAATCAGGAGCAAAATTACATTTGAAACGTAATGTGTAAAACGCCACGCAATATGGAAATTGGCAATGTTTTTCTTTATTTGAATGAGCATTTTCCTTGATGTGTGCGCAAAGTTTGGTAATTAATTATATAATTTACATTTTCCATTGTGAACCAAAGTTCAAGAGTTCACACTTGATTGATTATAAAACTTGTTTGGCATGCTGTCTTGGGAGAGAGCCCTGAGCTCATAAGATCCTCGAGCCCGGGGCTCCCTCCTGTTTGCAGGGAAAGAAGGAAGTTTGAAATTAGGTAGCTCTTGAGATCCCCCTGCGGTATAGCTAATGACTAGGCCCACACCAAATCTGCGCGCGCAGAATTCCACTGATTTTTAGCCCATCATTAATTCTGTTAATTTACTTGTGTAAATGTGTGTAAATCTATATTTACTCAGTTTTACAGTAATATTATTGATATTATTGAATTAATTAATATTAAGAAAATCTAATTGGATTTGCACTGTAAACATTAAATAAAAGTTTAAAAGATTTTTTTTTTCATATATTAAGGTTTTAGTTATGATACTCCCAAAATAATTCAGCAGAAATCCGCAGATTTTTTACCAAAAGTCTTAGCAGAAATAGAAAAAAATGTCCGCAGATTCCGTCTGGCCTTACTAATGACCAATTAGGAACTGCTTTGAAGAGATATACTGCTGACTAGGAGCACGTCTAAGGTGCCAATTTGGATTAGTCAATTTACTTAAGTCGCATGTTTTTGGATGGTGTGAGGAAACCGGACAACCCAGGGGAAACTCACACAAGCACGGGGAGAACATGTAAACTCCACACAGAAACGTTGAATGGCCTGGTAAGGACTTGAACCAGTGACATTCTTGCTGTGAGGCAACAGTGCCAACCACTGGGCCGCCGTGCCGCCCAATCTAGGAAAAGGTAGGAGGAGAAGGGGTGGTAGGGGGATTCTTCAAGATGAAGATAACTGTGGTACGAAACTCTTAATGCTTATAATGACTTAGTAACTGTCTGATTGGTAAATCACGTGTTGGCTAATGCAGAACCAGCCGTGGACAATCGTAAGCACATGATCCTCTCGAAATTACTTTATAAACAATCTTCACTTTTTATATTGTAATTTTAAAACAACTTAAATAATGCATTAAAATAATTAAACTTGCTTTTTTGCTATACCTTGCATACTGCAATGCATATGTAATATTTGCAATGAACACCCTACAGTGAATTAATGAAAACACTAGTTTTACAACCGGTTCTGCTTGCACGTTAAATCAAATCTAATGTATTAGATTTACAATTTAAATTTTCAACTGATAAAGCATCAAAATCAGTATGCAGTTAACATTTTGTAAATGGTCAAATGTCATCAGATCATTTAAACATCATTTTGCACACACTTCATGGAGAATGCACTTGTAAATAAGGAAAAATATTGTCATTTTGCATATTGCATTGTCATTTTGCATATTCTATTTCGAAATTAAGTTTTGCCACAGATTTGCTAGCATAGTAATCACCAGGCTCAGCAGTGTGTGAGTACAGTAAGGGAAGTACACTCCGCCGATCTTCTGCTAGTGTTTATTGCTGAAATCATAAAGGATGCTGTACTTCTAGTGTGTGTGTGTGTGTGTGTGTGAGATGTTGAGGTTGCTCAGTGTACGGAAAGCACTGAAAAAAGTGGCCATCGAGGAGCTAAAGGAGCCCGGAGTCTCAAACATACTGCGTTTGCCCCACGTTTATTTGCACATTTTTTTAATAGGGACTAGAAATGCTGCTTTCAAGTGCTCCTGGGAACGTCTCATTAATAGAAAACTTAGCATTAGTAAAATACCAAGCAATGGCTGAGAATCATCATGGGAAATGTAGTTTAAAAGTAGTAACACTAGCTTAATGAACTACTAATTAGCAGATTATTAATAGTTAGTAAGGTAGAAGGTGAGTTTAGGTATTGGCTAAGCTGTAGAATAAGATACATTATAAAATTATTAATGAACAGCTGACATCTTAATAACAGGCAGGTTATAAGACAGAAGGTAATAGCATCAATTTTGACCTAAATTAAAGTGTTACAGTCTCTGATGATCATTAAAGCTGCATTTATTTGATCAGAAACACTGAAAAAATGTGAAATATTTTTATCATTCATAATAACTTTTTTTGCATGGGATTATATAGTATAGTGAAATTTATTTCTGTGATTTAACACTGAATATTCAGTATTATTAATTCAGGATATGCTGATTTGGTGATCAGGATCATTATTAGTAATATTGCAATATTTTTCAGAGTTATTATTGAATGAGTTTTCAATAATACATCATTTATTAATCTTTAGTAGTTTTATAAAAGATTGTTTAAAACCAAGCTGTAAATGTAGCCATGAACTGCTTAAATCCTTTAATATAAAAGAAAACAAGTCAGGCAGGGAATCGACAAATCAATGTACACTGAACTGATTGGCTTAAAAGAATCATCAGATTTAATCTAAATAACACTGATGCAGCGTTTTGTCACTTTAGTATTAATATATATATATATATATATATATATATATATATATATATTTGTTTTTTTTTTTTTGTTTTTTTTTTGGCAAATTTAGCTTTAATAAGCAGGAAAGTAAACACTGGAAGTTCGTTCTCTTCCTAAACATGTTAAGATAAACACTCTAAAACTCTGTCCTCATTTACTCTGGACACAAATGAAGAAAACGGGGGAAATCTGTGTTTGAACTAAGCAATATTTTTCTGAAAAAAGTGTAACAAACTTCCAGCCAATCAGCTGTAAGGGGTGTGTCTAGTTACTTTAGCATATATATGAAAGAGGTGTGGCCTGTTAAGTGTTTTAGTGTTGCAATATGAATCTACCAATCTTTTGGCAAAATGAACTCTTAATCAATATTGTTAAAACACCATGGTTTGGTGGAGGTCAACATTAGGGTGAGAGAGCTCATCTCCGCCCAAAAATAAAACAGCACATTAACTATCAGACACAAACTTGGAATTGTAATAAAAATAAAAAGATAATTGTCAAACAAGTTGCTGTTACAGTCTTAAAAGCTTTCATAAAATATCTTCAGTTTCTCCATTTTTAAGTTGTGATAATTAAACACGGTTAAAGAGTAAATTATTCGTGACATTTAAACTCTTTAAAATATTTCCCAAGTGATGATTAATAGAGATTTTGCCAAAATGTTCTTAAATGGTAAATTGATAGTAATGGGCTGTGTGCACAGCAAGTGTTTTCACCAATGATGAAGAAACCGAAAATATTAAACAAAATTTAGACAAACAGGAACAAAGAGATAGAGAAACAGAAAAAATATTAAATTTAGTCTTTTTTCTTTTTGCAATAAATTTTAATAATAAATTTTTAAATATTATCTTTCTATTCCTAAAGATGTCCGGTGAGCAAACTATAAATAAAACTGCTTAATAAAAACCTCTGTGTAATGCATCAAAATATTATCAATATATTCACTGAGAAATTGATGAAAATATTAATTTTCAAAAAGGGTGCGCTCATTTATTTATATATATAAATAATATATATTATTCTCATTATATATATATATATATATATATATATATATATAT